TGTGTGTGTATATTTTCTTTTTCTGGAGGTTTCAGGAACCTTTTTTCTGGGATCAGCAGATGGCGTAATGGTTACGTCGCTGGACTCCCATGTAATTAGTTATGGTACAAGTCCCAGACCCAGTGGCTTAAAACTCACACCGAATGTGTTGGGTGTGTGTCCGAAATCCCAAGAGGGGAATGGAGAAGAAGGGATTGCAGCATGGCCATTCCCCCTAGGGAGTGATTTCTTGCCTTCTGTCTCTCTGTCTCTGTCTCTCCGGCAAGTGCACATGCCCTATAGCAGAAATCTCTGTCTCGGAGAAAGACAGAGGACTCTGTTTCCTTTCCTTTCCCGGCTTGTCAAGGTGGCCATTTCCTAGGCCACTGTACCTACATCAGTCTGACCTGATGCTGACCCTCCCAATCCCTCTGTTAAGGACTGTCGTGACCCCATCAAACCTACTCAGAGAATACAGGATAATCCTCCGTCTCAATCCCCAGCCCAATCACACTTGTCAAATCTGTATTGCCAGGTAAACTAACGTAGTTGCAGGTTATGGATGCTAGGAGAGGTTACCCCCGGGGGTGAGCTATCCTGCCTGCCACGCCCGGTGTCCATGGGGGGCACTAGGACTGTGTGGTTGCAGGGAGCCCTGGCTAATGCACCTCTGTGTTGTGCTTTCCATCCAGACCTCCCGTGATGGACCACCTCTGTGAAGCAAATGGCACCTTTGCCATCAGCTTATTAAAAGTGCTGTGTGGAGACAATTCAGGAAATGTCTTCCTCTCCCCCATTAGCATCTCCTCTGCTCTCGCCATGGTTTATATGGGGGCAAGAAGAGACACTGCAGCCCAGATGTCCCAGGTATGACCTGTCCCAGAGGAAGCGTGACAACATGGTCCCAGTGCTGTGTAGCGCTGGTCTGTCCAGCGGAAGGAAGGAAGGCATCGAGGTGATGGAGAAAGGCAGACACGCGTAGAGAGGTGACATGTACAGGACAGGTCCTCTCCTCTAATGCTGGCGGGAGAGATGAAATCATGGTTATCTCTGTAGGTAAGATCAGCAGGACATTTAGTAGATAGAGTAGAATTCTACCCACAAACAGGCACACAGGTTCGACCTTGTTTTATTTTAAACTTTTGTTAGCATTCCATTTTATATAGAAATGCAGCTGTGTCAGTGTTTTGTCAAGTGTGTCATTTTTACTGTATAATTATCCTAAGTCGAGGAAGAAATGTGGGCTTAAACCTCCTAGCGTTATTCAGAGGAAATGTATAATGTGATTGATCCGAAGGGCTGCAAACGAGGCAGTGGATCATCTTCCAGGGTAGTTGATTTGCCTATCTGGTGAACGTGTCCCCCCAAATTACCAATGGACATTATTTTCCCACTAATATCAGGGACAGCTATCTCCCCAGATAAACCCAACGACCTCCACTGAAGTCCCATGTGGTTGGTTCTAAAACCATGGAAGGAGTGAGGCTTGGGACTGGGGAGACAATCTGTAAGTCTCACTCTCACTTAACATTTCAGTCATAATTTGGCCTGGATTACTTCCTTAAAATTGCAGATGAAACTTTTTTATTTTTGCTTTTTCTTGCATTTCTGGGTCATATTCAATTCATCACAGCAACGTATATTTTTTCCTTTCTGCCTTCCTCCTGAGTTATCATACACCGCCTCCCTGGCATGGATAAAGTGGCTAGACCAGCAGTTCTCAACTGCAGTGGTGGTGAAGATGGGACAGGTGGCTGCCCTGGACATTCGGTCACATCTGGATGGTTTTCGTTCTCGTAACTGAGAGGAGCTACTGCCATCTTGTGGGCAGATGCCAGAAGTGCAGCCAAACATCCTGGGATGTTTGCAGGTGGGTGGCGTATAGTGGATGTTAAGAATCTTAAAACTGACATTGTTTTCTATACCAGGCACTTTATTTGACCCAAGTTGCAGATGTTCACCCAGCATTCCAGGCTCTTCTCACTGAAGTGAACAAAACTGACACTCAGTACTTGCTCAGGACTGCCAATAGACTCTTTGGAGAAAAAACATGTGATTTCCTTTCAGTAAGTATTACTTCCAGGATGTTTATGAAAAAGGATTGGGAAATTAGAAACTACAGAACAGTAGAGAATCAAGGACAACTCTATTGACCTAAAATGTGCTTAAATTGGGTTGCGTGGTTGTTAAGGGCACTAGACTCCCACATGGCCAACCACAATTTGAGTCCCGGACCTGGTGGCATGCCTTCTCGCTTTCTCTCTCTCTCTTCCTCTCTCTCTCTCTCTCATTTGTCCCTGCTCTATCCCTTTCTGGTCAAAATAAAATAAAGTTAAATACATTTTTTTAAGGTGCTTAACTTAAATTGCTGCAGTTGTAATTTTGGAAATTTATGATTGCTTTTGAATTATGTTCTTCTAAAATAGTTTCTGATACACCCCCACCCCGATGTCAAGGTCAGTATGTCCATCCTCCTGCACCCAGATGTGCTTGTGCCCCTTGATGGCCTGTCTCTGAGTCACCAGAGTCCAACGCATTGGATGGAGATCCTTCCACCCCCACCTCTGGTTGCTAGGTTCTTGCTGGACCACCTCAAGGTCTCTTAAATGTGCCCTCTGCTGAGTCACTGTTGCCATGTCTTGGGTTCAATCCCTATTTGTATCTTTCACAGTAGCATTAAGTGCTCCTCGCTGGTCTTTCCAAATTCCGCCCCATCCTTCCCTTGTCTCACAAGTCCACAGGACTGACAGAATAGCCTTTCTAAAATGAAAATATGTTCATAAATTTGAGGCTTAAATCTGAGTCATTTCTATTTGTTTTAGCATGTAATTCCTAAGTTTCTTACTCTAGTCAAAACCCGTCATCATGCAGTAAATCAAGTTCCCAAAACTATGCCACATGATGTGCCAGGAGATGTCTTTTTTCTTATTTTTATTAATATTTAACAGTTACACATCTGCTTGGGGTCCAATGTGGATTTTCAGTACGAGAGCACACTGTGTAGTGATTAAATCAGAGTATTAGTGTACCATGCTATCTTTTTCTTTTTTAAAATAATTACTTATTTTATTTATTCATTCATTTATTTTAATTTGATCAGAGAGAGACACAATGAGAGAGAGAGAGAGTGAGAAAGCAAGCCACTAGGTCCGGGACAGAACCTGGCCGGCCATGTCGGAGTTTCCAGTGCCTTAAACACTATGCCACCTGCTGGCCCACTGTGCTGTCTTGAGGTTAATGAAATGATCAGAGCAACCTTGGCTGGGAATTCCAAGGGTTCTCATCTAAGACTCAGATACCTCCCTGTTCTGGCTGCTGTTGGGCTCTGCCCCCCTGCAAGTTGTCTCTCTGAGATCCCTAACTTCAGAGATGACTCAGAATCCCAGGAATCTCTTGTTGAGCCAGCGCCCATTTTTTGAACATGAGCCTGATCTTTGAATGTTGTAACATTGAAGACACAGGGAAACAAACTCCACGTTTTTTTCATTGCTTGTATTCCCCTTCCTTATATATCCCTTTTTCTTCAAAAGAAGCAGAAATATTTGAGACCAGGGACTGGGCGGAGGATAGGAGCCAGCTGTCAGGCATAGTGCATCTGAAAGCAGGTTCTCACAGGGTGAGTTAACTGGGCGTTGGTGTATAGGGTACAGGCTTTTCCTGTTTGAGACCAGGGACTAGGCGGAGGATAGGAGCCAGCTGCCAGGCATAGTGCATCTGAAAGCAGGTTCTCACAGGGTGAGTTAACTGGGCGTTGGTGTATAGGGTACAGGCTTTTCCTGTTTGACCCTCATTTACTTTAAAAGGGTCATTTCCTGCCATTGTGTTTTCCTGAATCCCCTCTCTGAAACACACAAACATGCCTATACATGTGCACATATGCCGTCACACAGCAAGACATGTGCACACATGATCCAGGCCTATCACACTCCATTCCCGGAGACCTTCCATGCTCCATATTCTCTCGACTGACCTTGATGACCCAGATCTAAAATGCTGCTTCCTGTGTGTGGATCTACATGAGTTCTTGACAATGAAGATCTGCCTGGAGCCTCTCAATAACATTTATCATTCAATTAACATGTGCCAGACATGGTGATTAGTGATGATGGTACGAAAATTAACACAAGAGAATTCGAATGCCAAGAGGGAAACAGAGAATCAAAGTCAATGCTCAGGACTGGACAGTGAGCCGGGCTGTTCTGTGCACGGGTGGTGTCCCCATGGCATCTTTTAAGTATCTTGGTGTCTTTGCTGTCTCTCTTACCAGATCATGGGCCACCTCCAAGCAAATGTCATATCTTCGCCCTGGTGTCAAGCACTCAGCACAGCGGCCCAGAGGAGGTGGCCCATACATCATTGTTAATTGCATGGATGTGTCTTAAAGTGCAGCGTGACTAGTGCAAGCATTTATGGTAGAAACATGTTAAGAGGAAAAATATTGTTTTCATGTGTCTGGGAACCTTGGCCGAGTGAGACAGAACTCAGTGCCTTGTATTTGTAGACTTACAAGGACTCTTGTCAGAAGTTCTATCAGGCTGAGCTGGAGGAGCTGTCCTTTACTGAAGATTGTGAAGAATGCAGAAAACACATAAATGCCTGGGTGTCTGAAAAGACTGAAGGTAAGAGGCTAAATTTCAATGGGCTTGGCATTAGGATGGAATGAGTCTAGTGGGTTAGGTCTGGACCTCCATGGTGTCTCCACTGTGGCCTGCTTACCAGAGGCCTGTCTGCATGTGTTGGTTAGGTTTTCAGTCCAGCAATACAATTCTGTTATTTCTCTTGGACTTATCAGTTTACAAAGTAGGGATTAAAAACAAACAAACAAACAAAAACAAAAAACATAAACCTAATCTTAGGATCTCAGACTCTCCCATTTGGACTGGGCCAGAAAATCTCTGAAACATGCTTCCTCTTTGGGATTCTGTTTATCTTCTGTCTGGGACCCCTTATCATGCTCTGAGGCACTCTTATCATGGTCTAAGGCACAATGACACTCAGGTGGCAGCTTAGATATGACGCGGCTTTGTGCTTTATTTTCTCCCTATGGTAATGTCAGCAGGTCACTAGATTGATCTGTAGCCCTCTCTCTTCCTTCTAGGTTGGTTATGGCTAACTTCGCGTTGAAAATGTGACCTTTTCTGAGCTTACTCCAGAGTCCAGAGATGCAACGAAGGTGGATCGTGCAGTGTTTCTTGTCCAGACTATATATTTTTAAGGGAGGTTTTTGCTATAGGGTGTGTGTGCTCTCTGGAGAAACAGAGATACAAAGTGAGAAATCATCTTCCCCTAGTGGTGATGGCCATGCTACAATCTCTTCTCCTCTGTTCTTTCTCTGGATTTGGGGTATATACGAACACATGTCCAATGTGTTTTGGTCTGGGACTCGAACCACAGTCGACTACTTGGGAGTCCAGCGATGTAACCATTTCACCATCTCCCATCCAGATTGTATTTTGTTCTATGAGAAACATTTCTTCCAGGTCATGACTTAAATATAGATAAAAGGAGGGTGTTTTAAAGCACCCTGAATATCTTTTCAAAATATTTAACAAATAGTTTAGATAGTTCTCCAAGTGAGAGAATTATGGCACTTCTTTCTTCAAGTACTAACCTAACATTCACCCATCCGATTTTTTTGACAGACCCACTGTGTATCAGGCAGAAGCTGTGCCCATGATTATATGGAAGGCAATTACCACTGAGCCTTTCGTATTTTCTGGCACCCTCTGTTCAGTCAGCTCTCATCCTCCGGTTGATCCAGCAGTAGTGTTACCTGAAGAGCCCAGAGATTTCTCACACCTCACACTTCCTATTCCCATCACTTCTCCATGGCTGCTTATACCTTCTCTCCCTTAGGCTGAATGCTAACATGCTTTCCCCAAAATAATGGAGCTGGAGAGGACTGTGGGGATCACCTGACTCCCACTTTCATTGGGCCCCTTGCTTCCACTTCCCTAATTCCTGTGCCCCATCCAGTCCTTTCAGATGGTCTCTCCCATTTACATGTCTGTGTTTCTCCATCTGTTGGAAGCCTTCCTTATCTACATGAGATCTGAAGATTGGCACAGAGCAGTGTTCCAAACAGGGATGCTTTTGTCCTCTAGGTGACACTTGACAATGGCCGAAGATTTTTTCTGTTGTCACCCTGAGGGAAGTACTGCTGGATAAACATCCCACAATGTGCAGGAAAGTCCCCAGGACAAAGAATTATCCAGTCTAGAATGGTCGAGATTTTATAGTGCCAAGGTTGAGAGTCTCAGAGCTTTTTCCTCATTTTCTACAACTTGTCACCTATATGAGCTTGGCAAAAAGTTAGGTAAATCCTCTGATCCTGAATTTCAACATCAATAAACTGAGGGCAAGATCATAGTTGTCCTAGCTGTTTTAAAATTATTGCTTAATGGGGCCAGGAAGCTGGTGCAGCTATGAAATGTGATACTCTGCGAGGCAAAACCACATGGGAAGACTGCCAGTTCTCATCTGGAGACTTCCCTGAGTAAGCCAGGCACGTGTGTGTCCATGATCTGAGCTAGCTGAGGCTGGGAGTGGATGGAGGCGTTGGAAATCTACTAGGGATGCTGTTTCTCTGTCTCTGTCTCTCACCCATGGAATAAATAAATAAACTTTAAACAAACAAAAAAAAAGATTGTTGCTTAAGGAGAAAGGTTAGACTGTGTTTGAGAACACTGCAGCCATCACTCCAATTCATCAGGTGGTTAGAAAGACAGGACTTTGGGCCAGCCTGTGGCCTACTAGTTAAGGTGGCTGGGCCACGCATGGCCTTTACCCACACTGTCAGGGTATGAAACTGTCACAGACCACATCCTCCCTTTCCTCAGTGATTTGCCCCCTGCAGACATGCATGTGACTCCACTGGAGTTCTGGCTCCCGTGAGGCACTGGCATCAACTCTTCTCCTCTGCAGAGGTGTGTGCACATCCAGGGGACAACAGGGAGCCTAGGAAAAGCCATGTAAGGAATATTTAAATGGAGGCACCTATTTACAAAATTTTTTGATGTTAATCATTTCAGTCCTGCACCTGAGATTTGAAAACACTGCTGTTTCCAAGCACATGTTCATGAGTATCCAAAGTCACAAAAGGAGGGATATATGGAGGCAAAGAGATTGTGGCTTGAACATGTCCCAGGTTGGGTTCTCTCTCTCTCTCTCAACTTCCTCCCTCACTGCCACGTGCATGCATACTCTTGTAAATTAAAAATAAATAAATAAATAAATAAATAAAACAAAAAACAAACAGACAAAAAACAGGCCTCACCAAGTCCTGGCTCTCAACTAAGCCTTAATTTTCTAGGTCAAGGGGATTTTGTAAAAGAGTTTTTATTTCCTTCCAAACCACAATTAGCTCTCATATTCTTTACAGGTAAGATTACAGAGGTTCTGGGTGCTGGAACAGTCCATTCCCTGACTAAGCTGGTCCTTGTGAATGCTATCTACTTCAAAGGAAAATGGAATGAACAATTTGATAGAAAGTACACAAGGGGAATGCCTTTTAAAACCAAGCAGGTAGGGAAATTGTTTTCCAAATATGCTACTACTTTCTTAAAGTAGTAAACTGAAAAAGACTATAAATGAAAAAACAAATAATTTATTTCACACTATCTTGATCTTTAATCTATTTCTTCATTAATTTAATGGCCTTTGTATATCTTTAATTGGAGGGAGGAGGAGAAAAACTAAGTTAATTTTTGTACAGATAGTTTTGTTTCTCCATCCTTGCTCAAATCCATTTTCCATCTTTGGTCATATGATTTGTATTGGAAGAAAATTTCTTCTAAGTCTTAGAATCATGTTGATATTTGCTGTTGCTATTTATATTAACACCTTTTTGCAATGTCAGGGGTAACTATATATTGCCTTAGATTTCAAGGCCATATGATTTTGAACAGGAGAGAAAAAGTGTTAGCAGATGTTAAGGCTAACTTAAATATCATTTTCCTACATTTCCTTTTGCATATGATAATATCTGGGGTTAATAGTTCCTAACTTGGAGTTTGGCCTCCATCAATCTGATAATAGCATATTCCACACAGATCTGAAATTTGAAAATATATTTCATGGAAGTTTTAAAAACGATTGATGTTACACATTTTTTCAAGGTTTCCTTCCCAAGAAATCAAAGCCAGAAAACCAGGTATATAACTGGGCAACTCCTCAGAGTATAAGAATAGCTTCCTTTGGCCCATATGTGTTTTCTGTCCAGATCCTTCAGCCCAAGGAACTGAACATTACTTAATACGCCTCCTAATGTAAAAATCACTTTGAATAATAAAGTCCCTGGAAGTGCTTCTTCATTGATCTTCTCAAATGTACAAACACACTCCTTCCAAAAGTAACATGGAGTTTTATGTACTACATTTTCCTAGCTATTCTTTCTCACCTGGTAATCCTCGATCTTCTGGAACAGTAACATGTTCTATTCAATACTGAGATGTGCTAGAGAAGAGTTCACAGTTGTCAGCGTAAATCCACAAAAACAGTATGTATCTATACGTGCTTAGGGATCTGCAAGTTCGATGATCTTATTTTTAGTGAACTGTGCTCATCTTCCTGTTATCTAATATTAATTTCATGTTTTTATTAGGAGAAAAAGACGGTGCAGATGATGTTTAAGAAAGCCAAATTTAACATGGGGTACATCGACGAAGTGCACACTCAGGTCCTGGAGCTGCCCTATGAGCAGGAGGAGCTGAGGATGCTCGTTCTACTCCCTGATGAGGACACTGATCTCGCCGTGGTAAGCCCCGAGTGGTGACTCTGGGTGTCTGTAGATTCCAGCTGAGCTCATTTCTTTAAGTGCATCTCCCAGATGGCATTTGAGGAGTTTCCAAGTTTGGGTTATTACAAGTAAGTGGCGGGTGATCACAAACACGTAGCTTCTGTGAACATGTGAGTGCATTTTTGCTGAGAGTATATGTAGGAATGGACAAATTTATATGAAGCTAAAAAGAGAGAGCTCCAAAAATGTAAAATAATTATTCTTTATTCTGAAGAGAGGAATTAGTTGAGGGTCCAATTATCATTGGACGAAAGTAGAGATTGTTCTGGGCAGTGTTTCTAAAACATGAATATGTGTGTGAATCTCCTGGGTATCTGGTTGAAATGAAGATTTTGATTCAGTGGAGTGTGGCCTGAGATTTTTGCAGTTCTAACAAGATTCCATGGAATGCAGACTCTGCTGGCCCATAGCTTACACTTAGAATAGCAAGGGTATAAAGTACATTGGGTAGACTGAGCTGCCGTGGCATGGAAGTGACATGCTGTCATGCAATGTTGGAAGCCATATGGAGGATTGAGGTGTAGTTCCTGGATCAACCAATATACGCCAGCCCCACAATTGTGTGTCCATGAACTTGGCTGGCTGACTGGGAAGGCTCAAGGACGGACTGTGGCATAAGAACTCCTTGAGGGTGCTTCTCTCTCTCTCTCTCTCATGAATTAAACTCTAAAAAATTTTTGAAAAAAAGTACAGTGGGGATTTGCCTTAGATGGGAGGAGAGAGAAATCTTCCCACGACAGAAAAGGAACAGAGTAGGGAACTAGCAGTTAGCGTAATGGCTATGTCGCTGGACTCCCACGTAGTCGACCGCGGTTCGCATCCTGGACCCGGTGGCTTAAAAAATCTCACGCCGGGCGCGTGTGTGTGCGTGCCCAAGATCCCGAGAGGAGAATGGAGGAGAAGGGATTGCGGCGTGACCATACCCCTTGGGGGGAGATTTCTCGCTTTCTGTCTCTATGTCTCTCTCTGTCTGTCTGGCAAGCGCACGCGCCCTATAGCGAAAACCTCTCAAAAAAAAAAGAAAAAGAAAAAAAAGAAAAAGAAAAGGAACAGAGTTCTGGAAGGGAGATAGTAAAATTGAAAGGTAGAAGGGTTAGGACCAATAGTGTGCTAGCATACGAGCTCTCTGGGAGGTGGGAGCAGCCCTCATTTATAGTCTGTTGATTCCCATGAAGTTAGTACTTCCACTATGGTTGACTTTAAGCTACCAAGAGTTTAATAATGTAAGCCAGTCAACCACACCAATGCACAGAGTGTTGAGATTGAAGCTCTGTAATTTCCTCGGTTTATCTGTGGAATCAGAGAGCTAGTGGCATTAAGGCAAGGATAATATCTGTCATGGACATTGAAGATAAAATTTAGGAGAGTCTAGAAGTACAGTATTAAACAACTCTCATCGGAAAACACTCCACCTGGACTTGGTGAGTGGAAAAGGAGATGCATGTGGGAGCTGCTCCCCCTTTCCTGTCTTCCTTTCTTATGGATAAGCAGAATGGGTGATGGTCCTTAGAGGATTTTCAGGTAACTCAAGGACAGGCAAAGGGCAAACAAGGACCCGCAAGCAGCAGACCTGTTAAGTGCCCCATATCTGCTCTCCCTTCTTTTCATGTTCACATACCAGATTTCTCCTCCTTCACCCTGAAAGATTTACCCCCTTACTGAACCCTGAGTAGCTCCCTGATTTTGATACAATCAGTTGGTTATCATTTTCTAAACTGTTTGATACGGATTTTTTTTTTTTTTTAAGTTCGCTATAGGGTATTTGTGCTTTGCCAGAGAGAGACAGAGAGAGGGAAAGTGAGAAAGCACTTCCTGGGGAGGTGACCATGCCATACTCCCTTTCATCCACTCTCCTCTTGGGCACACATGCCACAAGATTTTCAAGCTGCCATTTGAACTGTGCTATTGGCCATGTGGGATCCAGGTGCCTTAGCCACACCACTGGCTCATCTCATTTTTTTTTTTTTTTCCTGTAGGGCATATTCGCTCACTGGACAGACAGAAAGTGAGAAATCCTCCTCAGGGGTCATGGCCATGAGGCAATCCCTTCTCCATTCTTCTCACGGGAGTTTGGACATGCATGCACATGCTTCCACTTGTCTTTCAAGTCATCAGATCTGGGACTCGAACTGTAGCTGGCCATGTGGGAGTCTAGCACCATAACCACTACACTACCTGCTGGCCCCAGCTCCAGATTTGTATAATTAAAATTTTCTGCATGTCTTGGGTACTTTCTAGCTCTTTCACTCTTGTATGTATAAAACAGGCAAAAGATGAGAATTATGGAGAAAATCTTGGCTTATTTATAAAAAGAAACTGTCTGTAGATTGCTTTGAACCAGATCTTGCCATCTAGTTGCAGGTCATGAGGCGAAGGGTGAAATGTAGGTGGATGGAAACAAAGATATTGTCTTTTAGATTTTATGATCTGACTCTGTGTTATTCCAGGTGGAAGAAGCACTCACATATGAGAATTTCAGAGCTTGGACAAATCCAGAAAAGATGACCAAGAGCAAAGTTCAAGTTTTTTTCCCCAGAATAAAGTTAGAGACAAGTTATGACCTGGAGTCGTTTCTTCGAAGGTTAGGAATGACTGACGCTTTTGAGGAAGCTAAGGCTGACTTTTCTGGAATGTCAACAAAGAAGAATGTGCCGGTGTCCAAGGTCACCCACAAGTGCTTTGTGGAGGTCAACGAGGAAGGCACAGAGGCGGCGGAGACCACTGCAGTGGTCAGGAATAGCCGGTGCTGCCACATGGAGCCCAGGTTCTGTGCAGACCGTCCTTTCCTTTTCTTCATCGTGCACCACGAAACCAACTGCGTCGTGTTCTGTGGCAGGTTCTCCTCTCCATAACGAGGCAAGGTTGCTGTATATGTCTTCCTTTCCCTTCTGCCTTGTTTTAATTATAGTTCCATGTGACCCAGTTGATGTGGAGACTTGAAGGCCAAAATAAAACGCATGTACCTGGGTTATCTGTAAATGTCTTTGCTCAAGGTTCTAGAGACCCTGAAAATAACTGAGGCTTCAGATGAGTGAAGTTTGGGGTTGAGAAAGCTACGCCTCTTTTGGAGTGTTTGGGTGCCACTCATTGACTCTACCCTCGATGTGACCATTGTTTGCGGGCGTCTTTAGGAGCATCTCAGGGATTCATGAGCCAGCCCTTGATATGCTCTGCTCCCCTGCAATGATTCCGACCTCTGCCTGACTCACCAGGGAACATGTGCCCAGACCCCACGGCATGCAAAGCCAGGCATGAACCTACAGAGAAAACAGCCACTCAGTGCCTCACAAAGCCAAGATAGTGTCTCTGCCTCCATCATATGACACATACAGCCTTGCAGGTCACACAGCACACACAGCCCCTCATGGAAAATCTCCTTTGCCTTTTCTTTTTTTTAGCTTCAGACTCAAGTGCAGGGTCTCAGGATTGAGCTTCAGGACTTCAGCTGGGAACGACAGCTCTGAATGTGCCTTGTCCTTTTCTTCCCCTTTGAAACACAAAACTGCAAAGGAATCTTCATACCAAATGGAAACAGGACTCCTCTAGTTAATTATATTCACACAGACTAGGCTCTACTCCCTTTCCACTTAAGAAAGGGCGTTACTTTTTTTGACTAGAAGAACTTGTATTATAGCAGCAATTTGGAAACTAGAGAAGCGTACAGAGAAAATTTAAGTTACCAACCATCCCAGCAATCACGGCTATCAGCGATGTGCACTTTTCTGTATTCTATGTACATAAATATAAATTCGTAAGCGTTTAGCATGGATTAGCCATATACTTCTGCCACTTCTTTCTACCCTTCCTTACTTATATCCACATTCCTCAGAATCTTTTCAGGTAATCATTTTTTTGCACATAGTTTTCCAGTGTATGGCTGCATTTATGTATTTGATTGCACTTCTAGACAGATTAGATAACTAAAATGATTTAGACTATATATTATATTGTTTCGAATGTCCTAAATATTTACTCATACCTTTAATTTTTAAAAAATATTCCCAAATATGGTAATATCAAGATAAAATGTTAGGTGCATTTTGAGATATCCTCCACGTTGGTCTCCAGGAAGTTGCACAAATTTAAACTCCCACTTACATGGCCATTTATGCCACCACGGGCTCCTGCTTACCTTATTTATTATTTTTTTTATGAATTTGACTGAACAGTGTTACTTCTATTTTTTATTCACAGTTCATGATTACATGAACCTTTCATATTAGAGCTCTTACTTAAAATTCATCAAGTTAGAATGTGTTGTCTGTTAGGTTATATTCATGCCAGGGGTCATGTTTTGCAAGGCAGATTTGACCAAAAATTAATTCACAGAACTGGAAAGTGCACAGCTGTGGTTTTGATCTTACTTGGACCTCTAATTTGAAAAATTACATCTTTATTGAAGTGTAATTGACACAGTATAAAGTTCACATGCATCAAATGTGTAATGCAGTAAGTTCCGGTATAGCATGCCCCTGTGAAACAAACCATGTTCAAGAGAGAGAGCACATCTGCCATATCATTTCCTCTTGTTTTTTTCCTTTACTAGAAAGATTTTTGTTATAGGACATGTGTGCTCACCAGACAGAAAGCAAGAAATTACCCCCCAGGGGGATGGCCACACCACAATCCCGTCTCCTCCATTCTCCTCTCGGTATTTTGGGCCTACAGACACACGAGCCAGCATGAATTTTAAGCTGCTAAGTCCAGGACTCTGACTGTGGTTGACTACATGGGAGTCCAGCAACATAACCATTATGCTGCCTGCTGGTCCTCCTCTGTGTCTTTGTAATCCCTCCAACCTCCCTCTCCCTGTCCTATCCCAACCACCTGTCCTTAAGCATTCACTGACCTTCTTTTGGTCTCTGTAGATGAATTTCCATTTTTGGAATCACATAGCATTTATTCTTTTTGGGATAGCATCTATTAGCACACTTATTTGGGGACCAGCAGTTAGCACAATGGCTATGTCACTGAACTCCCATGTAGTTGACCGTGGTTTGAGTCCCGGTCCCAGTGGCTTAAACTCACACCAGGCATGTGTGTGTGCGTGCCCATGGTCCCAATCATGGAAGAGAAGGGATTGCGGTATGGCCATCCCCCTTGGAGGGCAGTGATTTCTCACTTTTTGTCTCTCTGTCTCTGTCTTTCTGGCGAGTGCACGCACCCTGTAGCAAAACCTCTCCAAAAAGAAAAAAAGAAAGCACACTTATTTTAAGATTCATTCCTGTTGTATGTATTGATAGTTCATACCAATAGTAACATTTAAATTATGAATATATCAAATTTTGTTCATTAAACTTTTTTTAATTGCCAGAGGCACATGCACTTGCCAGAGAAGTAGAGAGAGGGGGAGAAAGTAGTCCCCAGTAGGAAGTGGTCTCACTGCAACCCCGTCTCCTTTATTTCTCTTCTGTCCTGGTTTTGGGCAGGTTCACACACACATATGCAGCATGTTTTTTCATGCCTCTGCAGGTGACCATGTGGAATCAGACTTCTTAACCACTAGGCTACAGGACCAGCTCTTGTTTGTTAAACTTTTGATGGACATTTAGATTGTTACTAAGATTTTGGCTATTGCAATAAAATGTCTGTAAACATTCATGAACATATATTGTAAAAACATATGCTATCATTTCTTTTGAGTACATACATAGAAGTGGAAAGGTTGGGTAATATAAAAGGTATGTGTTTAACTTTTTAAGAAACTGACTAATTGTTTTCTGAAGTTGTTTTATCACTTAACATTCCCAAGAGAGCATGCACGAGTTGTCATTGTTCTATAGCCTTGGCAATACTTGCTGATCTTACTTGGTTATTTTAAGTGTGTAGTGGAATCCCATTTTGGCTTAAATTTGCATGTCCTCAGTGACTAATTTTGTCTAGTTAGTTTTATTTTTCATGTGCTCATTTGCCATCCGTATATGTTCTTTGGTTAAATGTCTTTTAAAAATATCTCATCCATTTTTAAATTTTAATTTTTATTTTCATTTACATTTAATCATTGTACATCTTCACAGTGTATGATATGGTTTTTCAAAGCATATATGTAGTGCATTTCAATCAAGTCAAAGGTAGTACCATATGCATCATCTTCAACAGACAACTTTCTGTTCTTGTATCTGTTAAATATTTTTTTCCCCTAAATCTCTCCTATCCCTCACCATCTATTCCTTTCTGTACAATCTCTGGTATTTACACTTGCCCTCCCTGCTTTTATATCTTCCAGTCTTTCAGTTTCTGCCATAGACGGCAGATGTTTGGTATATATTGAGCAGGGACATACAATGTCTGTTTAGAATAATCTGTCTTACTTTTCTTAGCCTTACGTCTTCTGTATTTATCCACTTGGTATCAGACACCAGACAGGGTCTGGTTGTTATTTATGGCTGAGTAGTATTTCACAGTGTATATGCCACATTTTTCAATTCAGTCATCAGTTCTTGGGCATTTAGGTTGGTTCTTTGTCTTAGCAATTGTGAATAATGATGCAAAAAATGGGGATGTGCAAGTGTCTTTCTGACTATTTTCCTACCCTTTGAGTAAATACCCGAGAGTGGTATTATTGGGTCATATGGTAGTTCTATTTATAGGTTTTTAAGAAACTTCCATATTGTTCTCTTTTGTAATTTACATTGCAAATTAGAGCTCTTACAAATATTGTAAAAGAGTTCCTTTTATTCCACAACCTGTCTAGCATTTGTCTTCTTCCTTTTTTTTTTTTTTTTTTATTATAGCCATTCTGACTGGGGCTAAGTGGTATCTCATTATGGATCTTGGGCACACATGCACACGTGCCCGGCAGGAGTTTTAAGCCACCGGGTCCGGGACGCGAGACGCGGTCCACTACGTGGGAGTCCAGCAATATAGCCATTACGCTAACTGCTAGTTCCCGAGTATATTCTAATTTTTATGCTATTATAAGTAGTATTCTGTTTAATTTTAATTTCTGATTATTTGTTACCAATATATAGACATATCATTGGTTTTTAAATTTCAACCTTATATCCTGAAGACTAGCCAAAATCACATAGTTCTTGTAGTTTTTTTGTAGTTTTATATCTGCTAATGAAGACTTATATTTCTTCTTCATTTCCCATCTGGATCATTTTCATTTCTTTTTCATTGTACTAGCTGTTGTTTAGAGGTAGTGAAAACAGGCTTATTGTCCTGGATCTCAGAAGAGAGACTGACGTTTTAATCATTGAATGTCATATTAACTGTGGGTTTTTCAGGGATGTCCTTTATTGAGTTGAAGAAAGTTCTTTCCATTCCTACTTTGCTGAGAGTTTTCATCAGTAAGAGATACTGAATTTTGTCAAATACATTTTTTCTATCTTTCAGATAATCATTTTTCTTTGTTTCTAGATTACTAATATTGTAAATAATTTTGGAGTGTTAAAACAACATTCTCTTACTGGGATAAATGTCACTTTGTCTTGACATAGCTCCCATTTTATACATTATCAGTTTCAAATTATTAAAATATTTTTAGCAATTTTTTGCCTCTGTTCCTGAGGGACATGAGTGTGAGGCTTTCTGTTTTGTAATGTCTTAGTCTGGCTTTGATGTCAGGGTAACTTTGGTTTCATTGAATGAGTTGAGAAGCATGCTCACCTTTTACATTTTCTAAAACAGATTCTTTTAGGATTGATACTATTTCTTCCTTTAATGTTTGGCAGAATTCATCGGTGAAACCTTATGAGACTGTAGTGGCTTTCAACTCCAACTCGAATTCTTTTAATAGATGTAGAACCATTCAAATGATACATTTTTAAAAAGAAATTTTAATAGTTTATATCTTCCAAGGAATTTGTCCACTTTATAGTCATCAAATTTAGTAGCATAAAGTTTTTCATAATATTCTCTTATATTCCTTTGAATATCTATAAAATCTGTTGTGATAACATCTCTCTCATTTCTTTTGGGTTGTTAAAAAAATCATGATGCATTTTTGGATAGAAAAAATA